TTTCCTATTGATTTTCTCTCTCCCTATCCTTACATTTTTTTCTTCTTTTAAACAGATTTTTAATCATTTTTAAAATCTTTTTATACTTGAATTTTGTTTTTGTTTTTGTGAAGCGCCTTGTGATTTTTATCTTGAGAGGTGCTATATAAAATATCGTCTTCTTCTACTTCAAATGTAACAATTTCAAAATCGACTTCAGGTGCGTTAAACGGCGCAGTTGAAAGAAACTTGACCTCACAATCGCATTGATCTGAGGGACCATTGTAAATCCTGCATCCAATTTTACCTCAAGGATGGTAGCACACCTCCTGAGTCGGAACCACAGACGTGCGAGACAGGATTCTGGGGTCAAAAAGAATGGCCTCGTTTAAGTTTAGTTTAGGGAAGTTTAGTTTAAGGAAGTTGGCTGCCAGCCACCTCTTTACATCAGAGAAAGAATCAAATTGTTTTTGAAAATCAATGAAATAATGCCTAGTTATTGAAAAATATTGGCGGCTTTGTGACATACAACCATAAAAATCAATTCTAAAATACATGGAAGTGAGTCTAAGTCTCTGGGCGATGCCATATTAGACACAATGTTTCATTGAGCCTGTGAGGACAAAATGCATTTACTGATTTGTAACAAGTGGTTACAAAACAATCGTCTTTCAAAAACGTTGTTTTACACATTTACCCCCTCACTCGTTGCCAGTGATGAGAGGGAGTCTGATGTGCTTGTCGTTTTGCTGGAGGTTGAACGGCCTGACGAAGTAGTCGTTCAGAAATTGCACTCCCAGGGATTTTTGACCCTAACGGCCATCCGTTGGTAAGATCTTTCTCTAACACAAAAATACTGCTGGCTTTTAATGATTTAGGTATGTGCTGCCCCTTATCACCAGGGAAAGTACACATTGTCATTTTAATACATGAATTAAGCTAGACTTTATTTCTTATTAATCCTACTGGCTATTTTTATTTGAATCTCTATCATAAATAATAATTCAGACCCTTAAGTTTTTATTTTTCAAATCCATCAATGTTCTAATTTAAAATCTCACCACTCAGGTTCATCACAATAACTTCAAGGTCCTTATCATCTTAGCAGAGATGGACTACTTTTCTGTGCCAACACGGCGTGAATGACAAATGTTATTTAATTTCTTATTCTTTACATTTGTTTTATTTAATAAATAATGGCCAGTGGAAGTTGTGAAACTGAGATTTTTCTCAGCAACATTCTGACAATGTCAGGAATTCTTTTCTTTCAGTAGCTACTTTTGTTTGTTTGAAAAAAAAATCCTCACATTAGGCTGTGACGCTTGTGTTTTACACCTGCACTTTCTGCTGATCTGCTGATGTCCTTGGTTCCCCTTTTTAAAACACATTTCATCTACCCTGAGAGATGAAAAAAAACATTCATTTGTTTCAAGAAGGAAAATCTATTTGATATATCGCTACCCTCAGGTTGTTCAGTGACATGCTGCAAAACTAACCCACAATGAGCATATAAATCTACATAACACCAGAGTCGCGTTTGTTTGGACTGAAACTTGGGTCCAACTGACGCCTTCCCATAGTAATGTACCTGAAGCTGTCCAGCCACAGAGGAACTAGAAATTTTCATTTTCTAATGATTTTGTGCAAATCTAAAGCTTTTTTATTTTATCTTAAAGAGGTCCTTCACTGAGAAAACCTTCTTTATTTATTATTTTTGAAAATGACTGGTCACTCTGAGTTGTCATGCAGGCTTAACATGAAAATAGTCTCCTACACCTATCTCTCGCATTAAATGGTGAAAATCTAGGATTTGAAAAGCCTGACAGGTCCACGTCACACTGTCCCTTCTTGACTCGTGATGGTAAAGGGTTTTAACATCCAGGAAACAGCAGAGAATGCCTCAACTAGTAGAACCTAAATATTTGGATTAGCTACTCCACCACACGGCAGAACTCCTTCAGGCATGTGTTATTTGTGGAGATAAAACATCAACGTTGCAGAGCAAACAGTCGGTGGTAGAGTCGCACTAGTGTTATCCAATCCGAGGCGAGATATCCTAATATCAGGAAATCAGACTCCAAATCCTGCCGTCTGAAGCTACTTTCTCCCCTGGCTGTATTCTTCATGCTGAAACAAGCATATCTGAGCATTTATTCCCCAGAATACGACTTACAAGGCATTTGTTCCTGCTATAGATCACTGAAAATGTAATAAGTATTTGAGTGATGGACCTCTTTGAAGGTTGGAAAAACTTGTTTAATCAATACAGTGGTCTCTAGTAAGAATGAATGCCCTGTAAGTTGTACTCGGGGGGTAGGGGGTTGACTCTGTTGCACCTTTTTCGAGAGGGTGCTCGCTGCAGAACTACAAAGGCGGAGCTGCACCATAAGGTGGAGCTGCACCAGAGTCAGCCCCGCCCATTCACGCAAACTCAGCCTAGCCCACTGACTTCCGTTTTTGTTTTCAACTTTATCGCAAACTGACCTGACCCACATGAATTACGGCTGTTACTAGTTTACAGTCGTTAATGCTATGTTCTATGCTCCAATTAAACAAGATAAATATAACTTGCTACATGACAAAGTCTGAATATATCCCGAAATAAAAAGGTTTCTCTTAGCGAATATCTGCCCACAGCCGCTCTAATAAAACTTGTGCACAACAGCATGTACCCCCGCCATGTGGTTTCTGGTAGTCCAGTGGCAAGATTGTGTAACTTAAGTTTTGCTTTCCCCTCAGCTGATGCTGGTTCGATTCTCGGTGGGGTCGGCAACAATCTATTTAGCCAGCTGAAACATTTAATTTGTTCATATTTTAGTTGTAATGTTCATTTTCAGAAAAATATTTATGTCTCTACAAGTTCTTTGAATTTGGTCGTTCCTAAACAGCATTTTAGTTGAAACTCTGCTCACAAATGGACTCACACTGGCTAAATAAACGAATGAATAAATAAAAAAACACATTAGTTTTTATATGTTAAATGGCATACCAATAAATTGTTGTAAACATAGTACTGGCAAGTGTAGCTAGAAATGAGGAAAAGAGATTATAGAATATTTCCACTGCTGGGATGCAAACCTGCACAAAACTGCATGTCAACCTGACACCATCACCACTACACCACCACATTTGATAAAAACTTAGGTGGCGTTACATTTGATTATGCTATTCGGTGTGTCTTTGTAGATGGGATGTACGATTTTTCTGGCGGTGTCTCAGTAGAAGTCATTTCAGAAATATTTTGTCAGAAAATTCACAGAATATCCAGATTTGAGAACCAAGACCAGACCCGCTTCGGGGGAGGAGACCAAATTGAAGCTGAGATGGGAAGAAAATGCATGAATGAGGCCAAAAATGGCTTTGGCGTGTTTCTTATGAGGAAATGACAATATAACATGATTAAAAGTTCAAAAAGTTAGATTTTTAATTATATGGAACCTTTACAAAAACTGTTCAATTCACTTCTCAACTCCATCCTCAATCTTGCATTTTTTAGCTATAACACCCTCTTTGGTTCCAGAATGCTATAGTCTGACAACTGGAAGGAATTGGACTGACTCTGATAGAATGGGCGGGGCTGACTCTGGTGCAGCTCCACCTTCTGGTGCAGCTCCGCCTTTGTGGTTCTGCAGCGAGCACCACTTGCCTTTTTCAGGAACTAGCCAAGCTTCAGACAGCAGGTTGGGAGTCTTATTTCCTGATTTTTGGACATCTCACCTGATTGGATAACAGCAACTCACTAACTCTGCTCTGCAATGTAGATTTTTTTATCTTCACAAATAACAAAAACCTGGAGGAGTTCTGCTGTGTGGTGAAGTTGCTAATGCTAACAGTTAGCTTATGCTAGCCGAGACATTCTCTGCTGTTTCCTGGGCACAGAAAAACAGCCTTTCCCATCACAAGTCAAGATGGGTGAGTCCATGAATGTTGAACTGTGTGAAAAACAGAGTTTAAAAAATGGGTTTTCAGTAGACTACACCTTTAAGTGATGATTTACAATCCAAAAGCAAATTGCCTCTCCTAACCTTTCTAATGGAAATGTCTATTAGAGCAGTTGGTAATCAAAGAGATACAAATAAAATAGATTTTTAAGTTAACTTCTTTAGGACAGAGATCAAGATGTTATTTTAGGATTTAAGCTGCAACAAGTGAGATGGAGAGAGATTTTAGATTCTGTAAAATGTCTGCAAATCACAGAAGCACGATCCTCATTTCGTCTGACGCTAAATAAATAGAAAAAAAATCATTCACTGTGTTTAAAAATGTTCTCTAATTTAAACATCAACGTCTTGTACATGAATGGCAGAAGTCTCACAGAACTTGAGGTCTTTTTATGTGAAGAACTGACAGAATTTCCCAAACCAACCAAATAGCCTCCCAGTTACTGTGTGGGTGGCTTTCACTTGCCTTTTCCAGGTAAAAGATAAAAAACGTTTCATTTTCATCACTGTGACTTGAAGATCAGGTCCAGTTTTACTTGCATAGCTATTCACAGTAACAGAAAGTTAAACCTCTTGACTAACGGAAAACCTAAAAATCAGAGGTTACAGCTCATGAGCACAGATCTGCTACAGTCTTAGCTGTAAGAAGGTGTCCTGAATATTAGTTAGTGCTTACATGTAACAAACAGTTTATTTTATTTACATAATGCATATTGTAATATGTACTGATTCCTTTGATTGACTAATAACTGTAAATATATTTTAGTAAAATTAATATTTTTAAACCACCGTCAGCATAGCAACTAAGTAATCTGAACTGTTTGTTGGTTTTTAATGTCCATAAGCAGAAATAGCAATGAAACATTCTCATCAATCATTTGTACAGCTCTTTATTCATTTAAAGTTCCCACCATCTTCAAATACAAGCTTCTCTTTACATCATCTCAGTTTTCAAGAGAAATTCCTCCTCCATGTGGCCAAATTGTGTAACTACACTCTAATTTGTAACATCAGTGTTTTACACAATAGGTTGAATTATTGAGAATTAATGTGTCTCTGTGTCTTTTTTGTCTGCTGCAGTCAGAAGATGTCAGAAGAAATAAGGTCTGTTTTACATGTTTATTCCTTTTTGACACAAATGTCTGGTTTAGTTGATTTCTGGACCAAACTTATCTGTGTTTTTATAGCAACTTCCATTAACAGTTCAGGAGCTACAAGAGGAGCTGCGAGCTCACAGGGAGATGAACAATCGCGTGCGGCAACAGCGGCAGCAGGGGAACTCCTGTCGGGAGCACCACACAGATCAGGAGTTCAGAGGGGGACTCAGCCCCGGGCACAGTCCCAGATACAGTCCCATAAACCTGCAAAGTCCTGCACCAAACAACATTCCCAAAGTCAGCCCATCAAACACCTTCAATCCAAGACAACAAGATGCTGATGTCATCATTCATAGCCCTGGTTATGGGATGAATGCTGCAGGAACCACACAAAGACTGAGCCCAGCCAGCACCCTTTACCCCGGGCCAAGGAGCAGCCCAAATCAGCCCCTCTACAGTCCCAGCCAAGGTCCAGGACTGGTGCCTGACTCTAGCTCCCTTCGACTCTGCAGCCCCTGTAAGGTGCCTGGCTGTGATGGATTTTCTTCACCTCCTCCCACAGACGCATCAGAGGAGAACTTCTTCAGACTGCAGTCAGAGCATGAGCGGCAGGCCAAGGAGCTCACCCAGCTGAGGAAGACCATGGAGGAGATGGAGGTGAGAATCGACTCTCAGAAGCAGACACTTGGCGCTCGGGACGAGAGCATTCAGAGACTGTTGGAGATGCTTCAGGGTCAAAGTCAAGAACACTGTGGACGGGGACAGAAGACAGGAATAATCACTATGGCGGCACAGGAGGCTGAGGCCCAGCTGGAGAACATGCATTTGAGAGAGGTGTGTTATTATTGCTTATGCTTTTCAAAGGCGTATTAGATTTGTCAGAGAAGAGAATGTGTCCTAAACATGAGTTAGTGCTTTTTAAATGCTGCATTTTAGCAATAGGATAGATTTAAATTATACTGTGTTTTACTATATTATTTATGGGATACATAAGGTAGAAGTAAACATCTAGGCCCTCTGATACGGGCTGTTAGATCCTTGTGTGACTGGTATACGAGCTTGGTCGGCATTGCTGGCAGTCAGTCGGGCTCGTTTCCGGTGAGAGTTGGATCCCCCAAGGCTGCCTTTCATCACCGATTCTGTTCATAACTTTTATGGACAGGATTTCTAGGCACAGCCCAGGTGTTGAGGGGATCCGTTTTGGTGGCCTGAGGACCAGGTCTCTGTTCTTTGCAGATGATGTGGTCCTGTTGGCTTCATCCGAATGCGATATCCGGCTTTTGCTGGAGCAGTTTGCAGCCGAGTGTGAAGCAGCTGAGATGAGAATCAGCTCCTCTAAATCCGAGACGATGGTCTTGAATCGGAAAAGAGTAGAATGCCTTCTCCAGGTCAAGGACAAGGTCCTGCCTCAAATGGAAGAGTTTATTATCTTGGGGTCTTTTCATGAGTGAGGGAATAATGAAACATCAGAGTAGGGCTGCTCGATTATGGCAAAAATAATAATCACGATTATGGTGACTGAAATTGAGATCACGATTATTTAGGAAGATTTTTCTATTTATGTTGATTTTATTTGTTTTTATTCAGTCATAAAATTGCTCAGGGCACAATCAGGACAAAAATAAATAAGAAACAAGATGATCATTAAAATAGCTCCTGATTCCCAGTATAAAAAGACCAATATACTTATAGCTCATAGTCTATGACCCAAGGGCTATAGACCTTGGTTTAACTCATTTAAGTCTAACCAGTACAGACCCAAATACCAATATCTTGCAAATACTGACAGCAAGAATTATACAGTGGCATTTATAACAAATAAACGCAAATAAATTGATGTTCACAAAATGTTGCATAACATTTATTGAAGTCAAGGTGCTGTAGGAGAGTGCACTAGCACCGTGTCCTCAGAGAGATTAGTTATTATTTATCAGCGTGAGGAAGTTATTTCTACCTTATTTATAAACTATTTATTTACAAGTCCATCAGTTAATGTAATAATTGTCCCAACCACAGCTGCACCCCCACCCCCCAACCTGCTCTCACAGCAAACGGGGAAAGCTGCACGTGTGTTTAGCACGCCGCACGCGCACATTTAGCCGTTTTTAGTGGCTCAGAAGTCCGCAGGTGCGGTGTGTGTGTCACTCACTCTGGTTAATCCAACATGGAGCCGGCTCCGAGAGCTGTTTCTTTAGCGACCGACACATCGCTACATCATTCCCTTTCCTAATGTCCTGAAAAACGGTCCGGAGCGCAGGCAGAGTGTTTAGCTAACCTGCAGGAAATGTCAACGACAGTTATCCAGAAAGTAGCTAAGGGTTACCAGAGATGTTTCTGAGGTGTTCGCTAGGTACTTTTAAGATTTAAAAAGTCAAGAAGGGGGTCTGAAAAGCTGCTAGAAATAGCGTCAAAGTCGCCAAGTTGGCAACACTGTAAGGAGCGCTTCATTTGCTACTCAGGGCAGCGCAAGTGGGAGGAGCAAATAATCGGCTTGTTTTGTTTTTTATAATCGTTCAAAACTCAGATCGTAATCGTGATTAAAATTCGATTAATTGAGCAGCCCTACATCAGAGCAATAGGCGGATTGGTGCTGAATCTGTATTGATGTGGGCATTGTACTGGCCTGTTGTGGTGAAGAGGGCTGAGCCAGGAGGCAAAGCTCTCGATATACCGGTCGATCTACTTTCCTACCCTCACCTACATTCACGAGTTTTGGGTAGTGACCAAAAAAACGAGATTGCGGATACAAGCGGTCAAAATGAGTTTTCTCCGCATCGTGGCTGGGCTTTCCTTTAGCCCTCCCACTGTCCTAATGGGTGTGACCCCGCGAGGACAGTTGATCATTGAGCAGGATTGATGGTTTATCCCTTGGGTCCATGTGGCAGGGGTGAGGAGTGAGCACCACCTCACCCCAGCCACGTGGACCTCAAGGGATAAACCATCAATCCTGCTCAATGGTCAACTTTCCTACCGGGGTCACCCATAAAGACGTGGGGGGGGAGCTCGATCACCCGGGAGGGGCTTGGAGTAGACCTGATGCTATCTTACGATACTAAAAACCAGACGATATTTTTAATTTATTTTTTGGGTGAACTCAATTGAAAGGTTCAGGCCAGATGCCTCCAAGTGTGTCAAGTGTGTAATTAATGTTTTATCAGTGTTATATCTGTAAATATCCATTATTCAATTCAATTCAATTCAAAAATACTTTATTAATCCCAGAGGGAAATTGATTGCTGTAGTAGCTCAGAATAATAATAATAATCCAGTCATCAAAGAATAACAGTGGGATATTAATATCGGATACCGATGTCAGCCCACATTTTCATATCAGTGCATCCATAATTCTAACAGTTAAGATTTAATTCTTTTTTGTTGATTTATTTGAGTCAAAACTTATTTTTTCTCCTATTTTTTGTCTTGTGTGCACCTATTATTGATATACAGTATCTGCGTAATCTGAAGTGTTGGAGCAGAAAGCAGCTCTGCAGGCCTGATCAATGGGCCAATTTAACATTGGGAGAGTCCTCAGAGTTTGTGTTTGGCCACTTCTTTTTACTGTGTGTGTGTTTTAGAGAATTTACGTGCCCACAAAGCTATCGATCATTTGTCTATGGTTTGCATTTGGCATTGCTTCTTGTTCTGCAGCAAAACAAATTAATATGTTTAAATGAAAAGACTGGGCTGTGATGCAACTCATAAAAAACACTAAATGTTTTTCATAAAGCTTCATTTTGCCCCTTTTTGGATCTATCAATGAAGTGGGTGGAGCTGCAACACGGGTAGAGCCGTGAGAGCTGACCGTATCTGCTCTGTAACTCCTCACTCCTGCCTTATCTATTTTTAACTTCTAAATCTTCTTAGCCTATAATTTCCCTACCTCTATGTGTGTGTGTGTGTGTGTGTGTGTGTGTGTGTGTCCCATATCTGTGTGTGCTTCAGATATTGTTTTTTTCATTATGTTCTTGTTTTTCTGTCCCTGTATCTCTGAGTCCATGCAGAAAAAGTGTGTGTGAGTGTCATCTGGAGTGTTTCAGCTTAGCTTTTCACACCAGAGAAACTCCCTCTCTGGACTCCCAGTGGCTGATGGGAAATCCACCCATGCCGGGTGGTTGTCAGGAGATTCTGGTAGGTTCAGGTGTTTGTCTGAATGTAATGTGTGGGTCTCAACCATGCTTTGTGTGTAAGAGGTGAGTACCTGTTCACACACACACACACTTTGTGCCATACTGTTTTTAGCCTTTTGACAGCTTAAGACCAGCTTGTGTTTGCTGTGGAGGAAGGGGTGAGTGGGTGTGAGAGGTCTGTCTGAAGGAGAGGGGGAGCCGGTAGAAAGGTTCTATGTGTCTAAAGTAGAAAAACAAGCCGTGTTTATCTGAATATTAATGTATGATTAATGAGTGAAACACTCTGACCTCCCTGATTGAAATGAAAGGGGATTGTTGTTCTTTCTTTTTTTTTTACCCCCAAGCCCCCATCTGACACTCTGGAGTGTAAAATTTAGGATAAACATTCCAACCAATATATTTTTTTACAAGAGCCACTTGATTTTTCTTTGATGAACTGAGAAGTGGTTTTTGAAGTTAGAATATTTCGACACTTGTGGTTCATCGTTGGCTCGTTGAAATATTTTTGGATGCATTTCATCCCTACATCTGGCTTAGACCTTCGCCTTTGTTTGTGTTTTATTAGGGAGGGGGCATTCATATAGTTTTCTAATAAATGTAAACCAGGACTGCTTTTCATTAGCTGTGTGTTTTCTTTGAGCTGGGATCATAAATGCCTCTGCTTTTAGTATTTCATGTATTTTATTTGCTCTTTAAACATGGATGAGAGCTGACATGGAGTTGCTTTTCTTTCTGGTTTGAGAAGAATAAAACTTTAATCTACTTTCAGGTGTTCGGTAGCTTTTTGAAGGTGCGTGCGGTGTGAAAATGCTCCAACTTTTAGATCTCTACCTACCAGACCAGAGCCAGATGTGGAATCACTTGAACCACCTGCGTGCGTTTATGTGTGTATGGCCTGCGGATGTGCTGTCTGTATGGTTGAGGAGCACACTGCATCACTCCTTCACCTATGTATGTTGTCAGGGGGATGGTGTGTGTAGTGATGTGCCCTCACTTGTGTTTCCTGTTAAGACTTTGTCAGCTGTCATCCTGTCTCAGACCCAACAGAGTAGCAGCAGCACATCTCTGTCAGCTCATTCTATTTTTTTTTGTTAATCAATCTAGATGAGAATAATAATGTTAAGAATTTCCTTTGTATGTTTATGCAGATGGGCTGTGCAGTGGCGCAGTGGTTAGACCTGTTGCCTTGCAGCAAGAAGGTCCTGGGTTCTCCCTGTGCATGCGTGGGTTCTCTCCAGGTACTCCGGCTTCCTCCCACAGTCCAAAAACATGACTGTTAGGTTGATTGGTCTGTCTAAATTGTCCTTAGGTGTGAGTGTGCGCGTGTGATTGTTTGTCCTGTCTGTCTCTGTTTTGCCCTGCGATGGACTGGCTCTCTGTCCAGGGTGTACCCCACCTGATTGCCAATTGACTGCTGGAGGTAGTCACCAGCCCCCACGCGACCCTACATGGACAAGCGGGTTCAGACAATGGATGGATGGAAGGATGGATGGATGGATGTTTATGCAGATGTTTTCCAAACAGGTCCCAGCTCTGTACTCAGATCAGTAAATGTTTGCAGTAACAAAACTGACCACAAAGTGGCGCTGTTCCATCAGAGATCAACTTATGTGGTGATTACATGGATGGTGAGCTGAAGTTATGTGTGATGGGACACACACACAAACACACACACAAACACACACACACACACACACACACACACACACACACACACACACACACACACACACACACACACACACACACACAAACACACACACACACACACACACACACACACACACACACACACACACACACACACACACACACACACATGCATGCTGAGAGGCAGAAGTCTGGGCCTAATTGACTCTCCCCAGCCACCAGGTCCCTGTGGACCCAGTAATAACAGCTGCACCACTGGACTGTTCCTGCCCAGCCTTGACCTACTAGCACAACTAGCACACACACACACACACACACACACACACACACACACACACACACACACACACACACACACACACACACACACACACACACACACACACACACACACACACACACACACACACACACACAGTGCATAGTTTTTATGTATTCTGTTGTAAAGGCTTTGATCTGGTGTGGGATCAGGGGTCCTCTGATGTTTGTGAACATAACATCTATGATAGCTTCCAGTCAGGTATTTGTAGAGCTCATTCTACTGAAACAGCTCTTCTTAGGGTCTCTAATGACCTTCTGACTCACAGTGATGCAGGGGACTGTTCTGTTCTGGTCCTGCTGGACCTGACTGCAGCCTTTGACACTGTTGACCATCATCTGCTAGAGAGGCTGAGAGACTGGGTAGGCCTATCAGGATCTACTCTGGAGTGGTTCTCCTCTTATCTGTCTGAGCATTCCTTCTCTAGCTGTCTCCAAGTGTAGGTCCTCCACCACCTCCCTCACCCATGGCGTCCCACAAGGTTCTGTGCTGGGACCTGTACTGTTCCTCCTCTATCTGCTTCCTCTTCAGTACATCCTGAACTCTTTTAAAGGAATCTCCTACCATTTTATGCAGATGACATCCAACTGTACATCTGCTTTAAGCCCCATGAGATGTCAAAGCTGCAGATGTTGCACACCTGCTTAGACTATATTAAAACCTGGATGGCTGGGAGCTTTCTACAGCTGAATGAAGATAAGACTGAGATCCTCATCTGTGCCCCAGACAAGCTGGTTCCCAAAGTCAGAGACTCTCTTGGTCAGCATGCTTCTCGCACCAAACCCTCTGTCAGGAATCTTGGTGTGACCTTTGACCAAGCTCTCACTCTGGATTCCCATGTCAGGAATATTGCAAAGCTGAGTCCCATTCTGTCCTGCTCTGAACTTGAGACTGTTCTCCACACCTTCATCTCCTCACGCTCAGACTACTGCAACTCTCTTTTCACGTGTCTGAGCAGAACCTCCCAGACCCGTCTACAGGTGGTTCAGAATGCTTGTTCTCGGCTTCTGACCAAGTCCTCCAAACACACCCACATCACCCCACTTCTCCTCCAGCTTCACTGGCTGCCAGTCAACTTTAGGGTTCATTTCAAGATCCTAGTTCTGGTCTTCATGGACAAGCACCATCATACATTGGTGATCTTCTCAGTCCCTACACCCCCAGCAGGTCCCTGAGGTCCACTGGTTGTGCAGCGCACCAGGCTAAACACCAAAGTTGACAGCTCATTTGCTGCAGTTAAAAATGTAAAAAAAGCAAATGTAATGTTAAACACTCTGTGACACGTTTATAAAGAGAATAATAATAATGCTTTATTTAAGGGTTCATAAGATTTTCTGGCTCTATTTTTTTAAGCAAGGTGATAATTCTGATTTGTGTTTATTTTTAATTTTAAGGGATCTAGGAAGTTTTGGCTTGCTTTTAGCACCCCCTCGTGTCTGTTTGTTGAACCAAAAGCAAAACATATTTCCTTGCCGTGGTTTTGTTTTTTTTAACACCTTAGTCTAATAGCTGAAATGTCTCCCCAGCCTTGATTAGTGTCTCCAGGAGTGGTTCATCACCAAATTAAACAAATCAGCTGTGTTTATGATCTAAAAAAATACAGGAATTGTGCTGGCAGGAGACTGCAGCACTAGGTATGTCAGCTAATTTTATTCTACGTCCCATCAGAGCGGCCTGCCAGCCCGAGTTGCAAGTGGAATGTCCTGGCCACAGGGGGCGATAGGGGCTGGGTGGCCTGTCGTTAACCCTATAAAGGGTCACTTTAGAAAATTATTTAAAATGTGAAAAAGTTGTCTACAATTTTTACAAAAGTTGGTCATTTATTGCTTTCCCCCTAACTGCTGCCCAAATCCAGGCAACTGCTCGCTCTTATTTATGAAAGGTACATACATATAACACCTTTGCCCGTAGGTCCAAATTGAACCTTTTGACCGTATTCTTCAGTCAGGGTGGTGGGACGTGTTGCTTTAGCAATACATTTGATCATATTAATTCCATATGCCCTGTCCTGACATGGGTGGAACAGAGAAGTCCATCTTTGATGACATGCTCTCGTGCATGACATTTCCCCCTCTGAGAGACACAACAGCTCTGAGAGTTGTTGCTGATCTGTTGTCGATAAAGAGTTCATAAACAGTCATTTTCCAAGGGCCAGACAAATGTGCACACAGGCTATAAAAATGACAGACAGGCGTTGGGTGACATAACCCTTTCTAAGACTGACGCATTATTATACATTTGGTCAGTGGAAGATTAGGACTGCTGCAGCAGTGCCAGTCTGTAGGAGGCACACTCTGACAGCCGTAACCCTTCCTTATCCACAACTGACAGGGACAAGAGGATAATGTCCCTGTCTCCTCTTGTTCTACTCAGTAACATGTCTAAAAACATTGAGAAAAGAATCCGTCCCACATTGTTCACTCTCTGTGTAGGTCTGCCGCTGCTTGATGAGCTTTGTTAGTCCAAGAAATGTCAGTTTTTTTTTCCCTTTAATTCTTGGCTCTCTTTAGACTTCTTTTCCTTTGGGTTTGCATGTGTGTTTAATTTTCTTGCCCTTTCTGAACACGACAGGGCTGTCTTGCAGCTGTAAGGAGCAGTCGTCACTTAGCCCTCCCACGATGAAATGAGGCTCATCAGTTAGAAAATAAAACATTTGTGTGGATGCAATTTGTAATATTTCCATTTAGATTGATGAGACTCTGAGTTTTATTGAAATTTAGCAGGAGTAGATTAGAAAAGAGAGTTTTTAGGTGTTTCTGGAGAGAGTATACCCAAAAGAAAGTGTCTGAGTGGAGCTACTTGGTGGTCAGCATATATTTGACATTTACTCTCCTTACATCCTTGTAGTTCTTTTAATATTAGCTGTTATAATAGCTGATGAATTCACTTAATCAATAAGAATTGCAGTAGTATTTAGTTTGACAGCAACCATCTATGTGCTAGAATGTGTGTGTGTGTGTGTGTGTGTGTGTGTGTGTGTGTGTGTGTGTGTGTTTTGACTTGAATGCATGCCTGCTTTTGTGTAGGCATCGTTGTCGGTCTGAGCCATCATTAATTATTTAATAGAGAAAGCTTAGCGCATGTGCTGGTGAGGCGCGTTGCTAAGCAGGAGCTTCGGCTTGCCAGAGACATCTGTAAGAGAGATCGTGAAAACAAGTGGGAGATAAGAAATCCAACGATTTTCACGGGAAGAGTGAAGGAGACGCAGTGATATGACCTACAGCTAAATGTGTCCTCTGTCTGCTTGGGAATAGACAAGGAGGATAGATGGTAGTAAATGAATACGGCAGAAGAAAAAAAAACAATATTTCCTGTTTTTGGAAAAAGAAAACATCTTTGGGACTGGATCAAATCAGAAACCTAAAAAGTTATATTTTTGGCTTTTTAATGGAGGCATAGTAGTGGTTTTGATGTTATTTTGTATAGAAAGCTTAAGAACAATAGGTTTGATTTAGAGCTGTGGGTGTTAGAAAGTGCTAAAGACGATGAGCCGCCAGGCTTATTTTTACCGGGTTCCTCCTACGGAGCTCCACCGCCGAAACCAGCTCCAGGCCGAACCGGCTAAGACCAGAGCTCTGCAAACCGTTATTGACATGAAGGTAGGACTACATGTGGATCTCAGATCCACAACAGGAAGAAATATTTTAAATAACTTGTAATTTAAGACAGTATCATGATTTTTCCCCCTTTGTTCATATGGTTCAGCTCTAACTAAATGCCAGTTTATGAGGTCGTTGGCAGTAGTTTGCATGCCCTCTGGTTTAGTTTGATATCACCTTCATGCCATTCAGAATCAACGGTACCATCAGACTCAGTAACAGAACTCCGCTTTCAAACATGGTCTTGTTGTGATGTTGCATCTGCATGGCAGCCATGTCCGAGTAAAGTCCATTATTGGCCCATGCAGAGTGGAGCACTTATTCAATTTGTTTCAAATGTCACATATGGAAGCTTTCACTCTCATCTCAACCCTTTGAAGCTGCTTGTGCCGTGAAAAAAATGCAGTTGACTCCACATGTGTCTGTGTGTAACACCCTCCCTTCCTCACACACACACACACACACACACACACACACACACACACACACACACACACACACACACACACACACACACACACACACACACACCTCATCCACACACACACATTCAGTGTTCATTCATTGAGAGCTTATTCCAAAAGGTGCTGCTTTACAGCAAGACCACAGATACTTGTCACACATATTCTGTGATTTTTCCGGCCATTAACAAATACAGTGTTGCAAAAGGGGAATTAATGAGAAGTGAAGGAAAAAGCAACAGAAGTGTTGGAGGGATTTGTCAAGGAGAAGAAAAGAAAATCAGATGTATTCTTTGGAATTGCACCATTGGCAATAAATAAATAAATAAATAAATAAATAAATAAATAAATAAATAAACTGTTCATTTGCTCAATATTGATGAAATTGAGCACATTCCTTTGTTCTCTGCATGCAGAATAAATGACATTTTTCAGTGTTTGCAATGTTTTATAAGATGTGCAAATTTCTGTTTTGTATTTCCAGAACACAGCCCCCCCTTTCTGTTTTGACCCTGATGTTATCTGGCAGGTACTGTACTGAATGCTTTCCTTTAACTCAGCGTGGGCTAATGTTTAGCTATTTCATTTCTTTATCAAGTATTCAGTCTGGGTTGAAGCATACCAGCGTCAGCAGATAAAGTGTTACAGGTTTAAGGTGGACTTTATATTAGACACAACCTTTTTCCATAAATGGCTGCTTGTTTTTGTTGGTTGTGTCGTATTTCTTCCCTTCCATTTCCTTCAAACAGCTTAATTTGCAGAAATCCTCCTTGACTTTTTTCTCTGGGTGTCCATGTATCACGTAGATGCGTCTCCCTCAGCAGTGTGCTTGGCAGCGCTGATGTCAGGAGCTCTAATAGTGGTCAGATGCTTACATGCTGCTTGTGGTTTTTGCTGATGGCATTTTGAAATCTGCTTCAACTTATTTAATTGCCTTTCTCTTCTTTTCCAAGGTTTAGCATTTAACACATGTCTGAATCTATGCAGCTAAACAACCTCAGGACTTGTCAATGACAGATCCCTCCATTTCACTGTAGATACCCCAAAAAGAACATAAAAAAGAACTCTTCTGCACACAAATTATGCTTTCTCATGTGACCTCATGCAAAGCTGAACATGAAACTAGTCTCCTACACCTATCTCCTGCATTATCTTCTGATTGAAAATAGATGGTGAAACTCTAGGATTAGAAAAGTCTGACAGATCTACATCACACTGTGAATATTCATTCATGCAATCACCCGTCTTGACTCACGAAAGGGAATGCTGTTGTTGTTTTAGCGTATGGGAATTAGCTGGGGGCATTGCAGCTAGTTTAAGCTAACCATTAGCATTAGCACTTCACGACACGACAGAAGCTCCTTCAGGCTTGTGTTATTTGTGGAGATAAAACATCCACGTTGCAAGTCAGTGGTAGGGTTGTGTTGCTGTTATCCAATCAGAGACAAGATGTCAAAATATCAGGAAATAAGTCTCCAGAACCTGCCGTCAGAAGCTCAGCTGTGATGTGGGGAACTCTCAGGTCAGAGAAATGGTGCACTATTTTTATTTGTTCTCATTTTTGTCAAATTTATATGTTTTACATTAGGAAACAAATTTCTTTACCAACGAACAAAGCCATCCAAACCAATGTGCCCTAAATGTAAGCTTCTAAATTGGTTGTAACACCCTTGCCAGCCACAACTACAACTACACAGCTCCAGACCATCACACTACCACCACCATGTTTGACTGCTTTTATAGTGTTCTTCATCTGAAGTACGGAGTTTGTGATACACCAGATGTAAAAGGTTCCACCTTTATCTCGTCAGTCCATAGAGTATTTTTCCCAAAGTCCTGGGGAGTTGTGCATTTATTTTGGTCTGCAGAAGTCCTTGAAAGTCTCCTGTGATGCAATTTTGAATGTGGTTAACCCCAGTTAATTCATGATTTAACAAAAGGGCCTGGATTGTGAAGTGTGACCAATCACGTCACCAAATATTGTTGCATGGTGTATATGTATTAAGACATCACCATCCAGCTGTCTGATTATTACTACACAAGTCCTTGTTTTAACATTGAGTTTCATAGTTTTAATCAGCGCGTTGCTGACCTATTTGTCTGCCTACTGTTACTGGTGCAGGACACCAAGATCTCTTCCCTGGAGAGAAACATAAGAGACTTAGAAGATGAGGTCCAGATGCTAAAAACCAGCGGCCTGTTGCACCCAGATTACAGGCAGGAGGAGCTGAAGCAGGTGGAGGTCTACAAGAGCCACTCTAAGTTCATGAAAACCAAGGTAGAATACCTCTGCATGCCAAAATGTCGACATCAGGCTGCATGATCCAAGTGATGCACGATTTATACTACATGCATGTTTATTTGTTATTGAGTGTGTTATATGCATACATTGCACGTGAATGGAGAATGCATTATTGGTAGCTAGTTCTAGTGGTGCAGCTGCAGGAACAATCATCCTTAAATTTGAGCTTGTTCTACTTTTACGCACATAATTTTTGGAAGGCTTGACAAAAACGTCTCATTCTGATGGCTTTTCATCTGAGCTTAAACACCACTACACAGATGTACACATCTAATTGAACACTTGTTTTGGGTGGCTCAGGAGGCAGGCTAGGTCCTGTGGTGGTAACATCCTGGTGTAAGGTTCTGAGCGCACAATATTTGTGAGACAGACAAACCACTGCATGTGTCACAGAACTGGATGCTTTTTTGAATGGATGGCTGTGGATTTTAGTGTAAAATGCTGTGATTGGTCAGTTAAAATAGCAAAAAAATAATAATAATAAAAATCAAGAATAAAGGTTGGAGCTATTCATTTAACATATGGTCAACATTCATGTTTAGAATTAAGTTCCAGGTTTCACAGAATTTTGGTCCACATGTTGGAGATGGATTCGTGCTACATGTGAAACTGTTTCTCTTGGGTTCATTAAAGGCGCTCTTTGTAGGGCCCGCTTGTCATTGCTCTGAGGAAGTTCCAGATGAAATCATAAAAGAGATGTTTTTATGAATGGGGCTCTGACAGATGAATGTGAGGTTACAACGACGGAGAAACAGAGGAAGGAGCTCTCTCCTCACCCGCAATATACATCCCAGTGATGGCCTGGCTCGCTCTCGCATGTCTCATCTGTCTGCATACAGTCACACAGAAACAGAAAGTCGCCACACATGTGGATGTGCACACATTCACTCTATATGGTTGAAGTGTTCAGGGTCCTGGTGTTTCAGCTGTGGGTGTGACTGGTGTTGAGGTGCGACTGTCATGAGAGAAACCGGAGATGGCAGCATCTCTGTCCTCTCTGGTTTCTTCTCTGGACTTTGATCTGCTCAGACACAAGAAAATGGTTCCTGGTGAATGAATTGTTGGGATGGTAAAACTATTTATAAAGAGAATAATAAAGTGTAAAAGAATGTGGTTGTGATTGTGAACAGAATGTGTGCTTTAGTTTAGTGCCTTGCTGTCCTCCTGTCTCTGTGTCTTTGTAGGAGCAGATATTGTCACCATGTGTGTCTTCCATCAGACCAACTCCCACCTTCCTTCTCCCCACCCAGCAACCTTGGATGACTGAACAAGCAGAAGTACCATCTCATTAGCCTCTCAACTGTCTTGTTATCTGTCATGGTCTAGCAGAGGTTATTTGCTTCTTAAAGGGATAGGTCTGGTATTTTGATCTGAGTTTCTGTGAGAAATTTATGAGCTGTTAATATTTTATTTGTTGTAGCTCTTTAAATGACCTCAGTTAAGAGAAAAATTAGATTTTGTTCTGACTGGAAAAGTGGATTGTTACCAATTGTAAACAACTTTAAAGTGATGATGTGTACCTGTTGTATTTTTGTGGTCAAGGAAGACCTTACCAGCGGATGGCCTTTAGGGTCAAAAATCCCTGGGAGCACAACTTCTAGCAAAATGATAATGACCATCAGACTCCCTTTCATCACTTGCAAAGAGGCTCCTGTAGAAGACATTGTGTCTAATAAAGGGTCGCCTAGAGACTCAGACCTGCTCCTATGTATTTTAGACCCGATTTTCATAGTTATTTTTCAATACTGGGCATCATTTAATTCATTTTCAACAACATGTTGATGGATATTTCCAGAGATTAACAGTAAAAACTACATATTGTCTCTTTAATATTAAAATACGCTAATTTATAAACATTTACAATGTTGTAACCTTTGCATCACATGGTTATTTATATGTATGCACATAAAGATCTAGCTAGCACGTTCAGCTCAGATTGGGAATTCACTTTGAAACTGGCCAAGGTGTAACTAGCCATTAGCCTATCAATCCAATCAAAACTAATATCTAAACTGAGATTTTCAAAGAGGTATTTATATTAATTGTTCATAATGTTCCAAAATTTCTCAACTATTCATACAATTTAAAAGTAGTTTTTTAGAATAATTTGAACTCCATTGTGTGTTTGTTTCCTCACTCTCAGTTTTCCTCTGTACTCTCACCCTCCTTGCTCTTTTGATTACTGTTGTTTTTATCCCACATTCTGGCCTTCTGTTCCTCATTTTTTGTCCTAGGATCTACCTTGAGTTCACAGTGTGACATGTTTTTGGCTATGCTCTGATTCAGTTAGACGTATCCCTTTTATGAAATGAGGCTTGCTCATTCAATTAGAAAAATATTTCTTTGAATCAGCTTCGTGCATTTTTTGGCACCGGTATCTGGATTCAAATTTTCTCTACATATCTATCCTCTGCCTAGGAATCCTCCCCTCTGTTAGCACACTTGATTTCCTGTGTGGTTTTCTGTTATGTTCCCCATGGTTTTCTTTAACACAATCAGTCTGTCTCACCACATGATTTTCTCCTCTTTGGCTGTTTGTCTTGGTGTGTCCAGACAACTGACCTGGAACTTCATCCAGAGTGTGGACTGATATAACAGGGCTGGGTGATGATTTAATCCTGTAGGATATACGCTTTCCAGTTCAACTCACAACCACATGAATGACATATTTAGATTGTAAAAGCTGAGTGACATAATGCTTAACATCATAAACATGTCAGTTTTCTCAAAATATGGAAATTTTGCAAAGTATCCCTTTAACACATGATTTAGAATGATATATTGTGTGTGATTAAAGGCATAATATGCAACTTTTTCATATTTTAATTCATTTTCTTGAGCCAGTATGTGCTAAAACAACCCTTTACAGTGTAATGAAACGTCACTCAGACCTTACCGCCCTCTGTGGCCAGAATATTGCACTTGCAACTTCAGAGTGACGGTCTGGTCCCAGCTGGACTTAAGGCGCTTACACATTAGCGTTGGCACGGTTGGGGGGCTGGATGTGTGTGTGTGTGTGTGTGTGTGTGTGTGTGTGTGTGTGTGTGTGTGTGTGTGTGAGTGTGTGTGTGTGTGTGTGTGTGTGTGTGTGTGTGTGTGTGTGTGTGTGTGTGTGTGTGTGTGTTTATACACATGATTGTGTGGATGGGGCTGGATGGTGTGAGTTTGGTCTCGAACAGGCGGTGTGATGTTCACATACTGCTTTCATGTACACACTGCTTTCTCCCCTGAGCAACTGTCTGCTCGCTTGGCAAGAGCTCCGATGCAGAGGACAGGCACACACACACACACACACACACACACACACACACACACACACACACACACACACACACACACACACACACACATACACACACACACACCAAGCTTTACCTCTTCTCCCATTCCCACTGAGCGGCAGCTTCATGCTACAGACCGATAAGTTTACTCAACAGCATCCTGCATGAAAATGAATTGCGCATTCGGGAGTCTGCAAGCTTCCTGCACATTTCCTGCATGTTTTAGATTGTGGACACAGCTGATTTCTTTAATTTAGTGATGGGCATCTCCTGTAGAAACTAATAAAGGCTAAGGAGACATTTCAGCAGAGTGAAGAGATAAGTTTCACTTTTGCTTTGACTAATGAACACTAGGGGGTGCTAAAAGCCAAACCTGAAAGTATTTCTTTAAAAAGATCACTGAAATACAACATTGCTACGATTGTTAAAGTTTATGTTTAGAAGCAATTAAAAGTAGATGCATAAATTTATTTCCGTTCACCTTAAAGATTTTCATTGGAAGTGTGCTTGTGTGTGTGTTTTTTGTGTGACTTGCCAGATAGAGCAGCTGAAGCAGGAGCTGAACAAGAAGGAGTCAGAGATGCTGGCCCTGCAGACCAAACTAGATGCACTGACCAATCAGAACTCAGACAGCAAGCAACACGTCGAGGTGTTGAAAGAGTCACTCGCCGCCAAGGACCAACGGGCCAACACGCTGCAGACAGAGGTCAGAGTGCACACAGTCATGCACGCAAACACACTGTAGTTATGCTAAGAATGGTTGTAGTTTAACTTTGTCATTTAGACACATCAAAACCTAAGGACATGCTTTATATTTTTGTATTAGATGAAAGAAATCTGCCTTCTGATTTTTTTCAGTGTATTTGTTTTTTGATAGAAATAAACTGTGAACAACATCATGTCTTATTCTAGCGTGGCTTCTTCTCTTTTGTTCCTTTTCTAATGGGTACTGAGGTGGGTGGAAGCTATCTATGTGTGTGGTTCTGAGTCCACCAGCAGGTTTATACACATGATTGGGCGAGTCAGCAGGCTTAAAGCTGGCAGCTCTTTTCATGTTTGAAGTATTTTTTAGCTCTATGGCTCTAATGATTTTTATCAACACTATTAAGGATGAAAGTGGATTGTACAATGTGCATGCAGCATGATGTGTGTGAGCATTTAGCATTTTTTGCCATCACTCTTTAGACTTGGAACTGATACTTCAGACCTCTGTGTTTGGCAGTTGAGAGTGACCTGTTAAGTATGTCCACTCATCATTACAGGAAGCAATTTGAGCCAAAATTAGGCCTAATTGTCTTTACATGCGCAAAGAATTTTGGCTCTAGCATTTAGCTGAATGCATCATACTTGAAGGAATTGCTTTTCAGTGGGTGGTTTTATGTGTGTCCTTGTTTACCAGACCCAACAGCAAAGCTGCAAAGGCAACAATGTGTGTGTTTGTGTGTGTGTCATCACAGAAAATGCATTCCTGGGGACACCTGTGGTAATGCCATATGTGTGTTTTGATTGCTTTAAGAAACATTAATGAGTCATTTTGCTTTTAGGTACATTTTGTTGTTCAACCATGCAGGAATGTCATTGACATTAAATAGAAGCCAGGTGTGAAGGTGAATGCAAGCTTGATCCATGGATTCAATTCGACCTGCATGACCTTTCTTTGTTTTTGTCCATTAAGATGAAAAGAAACAAAAAAATCGTAACTTTCCATGCACAATGTTCAGAAGTCTCTCCAAGAGGCACAAAGTGACAGACTCATAGTAAATCTTTCTTGAAACGTTTTAGGACATGAATAAAATTACAGCCACTCAACACAAAGGTCCTAGAATATTTTCAAAAATCTCCTTGTTCCATTTTCAATTTGTTGCCATCAGCCGCAACCTAGAGAGACACAGGTTTGCCAACAAATTATACTGGTTAGCCTGCCTGCCAAGGTAAATTGAGCCTCTGAAAAATATGCTGTGCCAGTTTGACTTGGCTGTAACCTAGCTGTGACAGGACGCTTCAGGACAGCTTGACCTTTTGCATGTTGCTTTATGTCAGCTAAAAAACCTTTTAAAACATTAAAGGGACGTATTTCACATCTAGAGTATTCCATTAAATGTTTTAACCAAATTGTGCTTTCAACAGGGTAGCTGTGATGTATGATAACATTTCTATGAATGAGTGTGTGTGTGTGTGTGTGTGTGTGTGTGTGTGTGTGTGTGTGTGTGTGTGTTTGAGGCTACTCGTCAAAGCGAATGGAATAATTGACTGAAATGTTTTTCGTTTCGGGTGCATCCCTGCATCTGGGTGCTTGACTTTTCACTTCCTGTAGGCTGCTGCACAGGACGTGTAATCAGATCCAGATTACCACAAACACACGTACACAGCTGCACACATGAACCCATACACACACAAAAACATATGCCGTCAGTTCTGATTACTCCACTCTCATCTCCGGCCTCCAGTAATTTTTCTCGCTTTTGAAGTGGCATTTTTTTCCTCCACTTGAGGATGACTCGGGTTTCCTCGGCTAAGTGGGCAAACCAGAGGATGAGTAAAGATCTTTAGTGGGCCAACCATGGATCTGCATTCCTTTGCTGCCTGTCAGTCATTCGGTCATTCTCACAGGACGCCGCTTCTCCCCTCAGTCCTCCCATCCCTGCGTAGAAGCACCGCATGTTCTAGTTTCAGCTAAAGTTTCGAAACTAAAATCAAGTCATCTTACGTTGACATTTTTCTTACTTATAGTTCTACATTAAACTGTTAGTAAAGTTTAGTATTCAGTTTGAACATGATATAAGCTTATTCTCGAAGGGCGGCTTCATATCAGAGACATTCTTCAAGTACTTCACATCAGGATGGGACTAAGAAGGGACCTGGCTTCAGAACAGAGAAGGCACTGTAAGCAAGGGAATGAGGAAAATGGAAGCGTATTTATTTGTCAGTCAAAGTTAAGGACAGCTTCTTAATGGATGTGATTGAATCTGTCTTCAGATAACTGGAAAATGTGGAAAATAATGAGTGTGCACTTGTGTGCGAGCTTTGTAAGTCCACCGCAGTCTGTGGAAACTCAAGCCCTTTAATACAGTAGATGTGTGTGTGTGTGTGTGTGTGTGTGTGTGTGTGTGTGTGTGTGTGTGTGTGTGTGTGTGTGTTCCCTGCCCTGGTCAGGACAATGGAGGACTGTAATGATACTCCAGCAGATCGGGTAACCAATCAGAGACCTTCCTGCATATTTAACAACCGGGGGACAAAAGAACGGCCCGAAATTACACCACCAGAAGGGTTTGACCTGGTTTTGGTTTTCTATAGATTATTTTTAATATGATGATTACTTCTGGAAGAGAAGCTGAAAAGCACTCTAATAAGAAATGTGGGGCAGTTTGATTTAACTGTAGAAGATGATTGTATATATGAGACTTTTATAATGTTACTAAGCAGTGAGGAACAACATTCAGTAGAAACACTGTGTTTATATATATATATATATATATATATATATATATATATATATATATATATATATATATATATATATATATATATATATGCTAAGATGACAATGAAGCAAGTGGGAGTGCTAATAAAACACCCCCCTTCTCACTCATTTGAAAAGTATACACCATCTGTATTCTTTCTCTTTTATTGAGACTCAGACGAGATGTCTGGAGTTCTGGACAGAGGTGGAAAGTAACGAATTACATTTACTCACGTTACTGTAATTGAGTAGTTTTTTTGTAAATTTATACTTTTTAAGTCGTTTTTAAAATCTGTACTTTTACTTTTACTTGAGTAAGTTTTTAAAAAAGAATTGTAATTCGCTACATTTTAAATCATATCCGTTACTGAGTAAAAATAAATTGTAGGCTTAATAAATTAAACATATTACGTGTAGCAGCGTCGGAACAGAAAGAGACACCTGCATGAGCGCCACGTCTAAACCGGGTGGGCTACACGCTTTATGATGAGGACAAACAGCCATTTTTACCGCAGTTTTGCTCAAAAACATCAGTTCAGTCCCTGTGATCCACTCGCTGTTTACCTCCTCTCTCCCTCCTCTCCTGTGGGTTGGAACCCGCACCTTCGCGCACCGGTGTGACGTCATCAGAATTCTGCTCGGTTCGGCAACCAGACTCGGTTCCGTGTTTGAAATGTGTTTCCTTACCGCGCATGGAAGCGGCAAAATAACGTTTAGCGCTCCTAACAAGTGGATTATCAGCGCTCTGCTCATAAAACAGAAGACCTGCAGGCCTCTGTGAGTTAATCCTGATACTGTTCAGGTGTAAACATTGTGCTCCATCCCTGTATTTGAACTCAGAAGTTGCTTCTTGATGCCACAGATATGTGATGATTTAGCTTGTTTCTTTATTTTACTCCAGAATAAGAGATTTAATTATTACAAAAGCAGTTCAGTGTAGTTAAATTAGTCATTCAAATGATTCTAACATGCTGCTGCTGCTGTGTGTGTGTGTGTGTGTGTGTGTGTGTGTGTGTGTGTGTGTGTGTGTGTGTGTGTGTGTGTGTGTGTGTGTGTGCGTGCGTGCATGCGTGTGTGTGTTACACATATAGGACTGCATGAGACAGCATGTCTTCATCAAATCCATGCATCCTATATCTTGGCTGAAGTAATGGCTCAGGAAAATAACTTGTATTTAATAAACAATGACGTCTCTGCAGTGTTTATGATAATGTTTTATCTTATATTGGACCTATCTTTGGTCTGGGAGGTGTAATTTATCATGATACACGCCTTTTAAAACATGTTAAAGTTTTACAAGAGGAGATAAATGCATGAATTTGAAGTTCATGTTTGGAGACCAACCTTCACAGTTTGGAGGCTCATGCTGGTGAGGAGACACCATTAGTTCTAGTAACACCTGGGCTCCCAAGGCCTGTTCTGACAGGATGTACGTTATGGGACCCTTAAGGATTCCAGTTGGATGATTGGAGGATTATTTAGGAGGATTGGGATGAACAAACTGGTTTCAGTGGTGAAGGGTTAAAGGTTTTGGCTCGGCATTAAAATTGTAGAAATGCAAAATAACTACACTTTATTATCTATATAAACATGTACTGGGTCCAGTTTTTTATTTTATTAAGGACTTTTGTCATAAATGATTACAGACAATCCAAATCCTCTCCTCCAGACAGTGAAGAACTGTGTTTCGCATACGTCACTCCAGCACGTAAAACAAGCTAACTGCTGATGCTAATATTGTGAATCACTGTTATTTGTTTACTTTGATGCTCCTAATTATTAGGTAAAATTGCGTTTACAGCTGCAGCAAAAGGTCTGAGCCATGTGTCTGTGTCCTACACACATTTTTAAATAACAGGTCTGATCTAAAATAATAACCTACATCTATAAATCCATCTAGAACTGCACCGCTACTTCTGGACTCCAGATGAGTCCCGTTAGCATGACCGCAGCAAAACTAACCGTGTTCGCTCCGGTAAGGAAAGAACAAGTCCTTTGGGAAAGCTACGACACACACACGCACGCACTCACACACACACACACACACACACACACACACACACACACACACACACACAGATATAATCTAAAAGATGATCTCTATATTTCAACATTAGAACCTCCATGACATCCTGGATTAGTGCAAACAACGAGTTGAGCTAAGGAGTTACTGCAGCATCAGGAAGATTTATTCTGGTAAATTGTTGGTTAAATATTTTCCAGAGTTATGTCAATAAATACACACA